GGGTCCCAGTTCGTGTGGCGAGACATTGTACTTATAGGTCCACGCTTTGGTATAGCCCCCATATAAAGGTACCTCCCGATATTCGGTATTTTTTATTATTTTTGCCCCATTTTTTCACAGATTTGTATAAAAATTGGTATTTGTTGGTCATAATGGGTTTCAGCTCAGGTGGCGAAACATTGCATGTATGGGTCCACGATTTGGTATAGCGCCCATATAACGGTACCTCCCAATATTCGGTATTTTGATGGTTTTTGCCACATTTTTTAACTGATTTGTCTAAAAATTGGTATTTGTAGGTCATAGTGGGTCCTAGTTCTTGTGGTGAAACATTGTATGTATAGGTCCACGTTTTGGTATATAATAACCATATAACGGTACCTCCCGATATTCGGTATTTTGATGATTTTTAACACATTTTTTCACGAATTTCTCTGAAAATTTGTAGTTGTAATTTATAATGGGTTCCAACTCCTTTGGCGAGACATTGGCGAGTCCACGATTTAGTATAGCCCCCATATAACGGTACCTCCCGATATTCGGCATTTTAATGGTTTTTGACACATTTCTAAGCGGATTTTTCTAGAAATTGATATTTCTTGGCCTTAATGGGTTCTAGCTCTTTGTAGAGGTCCACGTTTTTGTATAGCCCCATATAGCCGTATTTCCCGATATTCGGTATTTTGATGATTTTTGGCACATTTTCCCATGAATATGTCTAAAAATTGGTATATGTGGGTCATAATGGGCTCTAATGTTTCCTTTACCCTAAGGTGGAGGGTATTAAAAGTTTGGCCCGGCCGAACTTAATGTTTTTTTTACTTGTTTTTTTTTTCAGATATTAACTAACTTTGATGACTTTTTGCCATACAGGGTGAGATAAAAAACTGCAACAAAGTCAAAAGCCATAATTTTTATACCCTCATATATCATATGCCTAGAGAGGGTATATATTATTTGATACGGTCAAAACGTGCCTAGTGGAAATAACGGCTTTAGATCATAGGTCTCTTTGGACCAAATCCGTTCCAGGACATTTGGAGCCTATCTAGCGATATCCGTCCGTCTGTCTGTCTGGCTGGCTGGAGCACACTCTCGAAGGAGTATTCGAAGGGAGTATCCGATTTGAACCAAACTTGGTACATCGTAATATTATTGTCAAACTTAGATCTAGTTCGGAGATGGGCGATATTGGTCCACTCCTTCTGGTCTCCCCTACATGTCATGTCAAAATTTTCAAATAAAATAATTCACTGCACAGTAAGAGAAAGAATAATCCGATTTTGCTTCAACTTTGCAAATCCTAATATTTGCATCAGTGCTAGGTCAGGTGCGAAAATGGACAATATCTTTTCACTCCACCAAGTACCTCCCACACAAAGGGTACAATTTTGAATAATTATAACTCTTATAAAATATGAAATAAGTATCCGTTTGTCTTCAAATTACACACACCACAATATTTCTATTAACTAAAGGTCTGCTGTAAAGATAGAATATGTCGGTTCACTCCATCTAGTATCTCCCCCCGCATGAGGGCAAAATTTTAAATGTCTATTAAGCTCATAAAACGCGAAATTAACATCCGATTCACTTCAGACTTGGCACATCTCAATATTCCATCAACACAAGATCTGTTATAACGTTGTAGAAATCGGATCATTCCTTCTGGTACCTCACCCACAAAGGATCAAAGTTTTGAATAACCAAAACAATTATAAAATCCGAAGTAAGCATCCGGTTCTTTTCAAATTACATACATTACAGTATTTTTATTAAATCAATGTCTGTTGTGAAGATGGAATATATCGGTCCACTCCTTCTAGTACCTCCCCCACATGAGGGCAACATTTTAAATATCAATGAAGCTCATAAAACACGAAATTAACATCCGATTCCATTTAGACTTGGCACATCTCAATATTTCCATCAACACAAGATTCGTTATAAAGATGATAGAGATCGGACCATTTCTTCTGGTACCTCTCCCACATAGGGTTCGAGATTTTGAAAAACAAAACGTGCTTATTTCGTTTCCTTTATAAGCATCCAAATTTTACACACACAAACATTTTTGCTAACAGAAGATCTCTTGCGAATATTATATATATCTGCGAACCACTTCTGGTACCTCACCCACAAAGGGTCATAATTTTAAATATTTTTATCTGTCATAACTTGCGAAACAAGTCTGCGATTCTTTACAACTTGCTATCTAAATATTTCTCCTTACCAGAAGTCTGATATGAATATGAAAACTATCGGAATTTATGATTTCGCATAAAATTGCATATAAATGTTCGATTTCCTTCGAATTTTGCACATACCAATATTTTTATCTGTATTAGATGAAGTATGAAAACGGAATACTTCGGAATATTTCCACAGTTTCCAAAAATATTTATCAACTGCTTCGGAACCTCCCAAATAATGGGTCAACAGTTAGAATAATCATAACCTAAGGCTGGGGGTATACATCTGTCGGCAAAACCGACTGATACTGTTTGACTTGTTTTTAAACACCTTCGGTCGTGAATCTGAAGACAGCAAATTTAGATTATTCTTGCTCTATGTGAAGTAGAGCCTTTGTTACCACATGACATCCCCAAATACTGTGCCTGGGAGAAATTGATATTATGCACCCACACAGTTGATGGTGTCAACAAAAGCAGTCGCATCAACTCAATAGAATTTTTGTGTTGTTTTTGTCTCATTAAAAAATATCGCTGCCGCTCCGTGCGAGATATTTGATGATTTTGCAGAGGTCATCATAATTTGGTGACATTAGCTTCATCATCTTCGTCGTCATCATCAGGGGTTTGAATGAAAAATTAAATAAAAAACGTTGTTAATATTAAATTAAAATTTGAATTTTTTTATTTATAGATCGAATGGAGAGAGGAAAAACAATAAAGAGATAGTAGTTGATTGTTCATAAATTATATTTTGAGTTGAGTTCTCTTCACTGTTGTACGTTTAGTATATTTAATGATTTGAGAGGATCAAACTATAAAAAAAAACAATTGGGATCACATTTAGCATAGAAATTTGTAGTACTCTAAGAGGTTTGGTATTGGGGCTATAACGACCCACGTTTAGGGATAAATCCAAATGTAAGGGTACCTCCTAACATTCCGAATTTTGAAGGTTCTAGCTTTAACTTTCAACCAAATATTTGTAATAAGTAGCTAAGTTATCCCCTCGCAAATAATACAGGGTGAGATGAAAAAACTGCAACCAACTTCAGACTGCTGTCATTTCTAAGCCGTTAGCTGTTAAATTTATTCCAGTGATAGCTCATTATATTGTACAAGCGTACAAAAGCATTTTGGCGAGAATTTTCCAAGCGTGATAGTGTGATTTCTTTATACTTGGCTGGAAAACCACAAGTGGCTATCCTTAGAGCACTCCAGCATTTAAATGTGAATAAATATTTTGGGTCTCGTACCATCGCTCGTTACCGTGATACTGATAGCGTAGCCCGACGTCAAGGAAGTGGACCGAAGAAAACAGAAACATCAGTGGAAATGGCCACGTCGCAGTGGCCGAAAAATGGCTCGTAAGGTGAACATATCGCAATATTCCATTCGGCAAATATTGAAAAATTTGCTCGGGGTAAAACCATTAAAATTCCAAAAAATGCAAGAACTTACACCGCAACAGAAAGAAAATAAAATTAAAAGAGCTAAAGCGTTGCTTCGCTTGGCCGAAAGTGGTGAACTGCCGAATTTGGTTTTCTCAGATGAGAAAACATTCGTTGTCCAGCAGTTTGTAAACCAAAGGGCAAAATGATCGTGTTTACTTGCCAAAGAGGTCAGCTGAAAATGTGCACCTCAAGCGCTGGCCATGGTGATGATATGGGCCGCCATAGCAGCCGATGGTCGCTCTCCGTTCGTAGTAATCGATAAGTATCAGAATAGATGCCGAATATTACCGCAAAAATATTCTGGAGGGTGTATTAAAGCCTTGGGCACGAAAACATTTTGGCCGCAGACCTTGGACATTCCAACAGGACTCAGCACCATCGCACACTCCGCCCAAGAATGGTTACAAAATGAGGTTCCTCGCTTCATTTTCAGCGCACAATGGCCACCAAAATCTCCGGATACCATTCCGTTGAACTATTGTGTCTGAAGTATTTTGGAAAGCAAGGTTGGCAAGCAAGCGCTTCGCCGGGAGTGGGCCAAAATACCGCTGAGTAACATTGGGGCAGCGTGTGACGGTTTCATTGGCCGTTTGAAGGCCATAATTTGTGCCAAAGGTGACCAATTCGAACAAATCTAAACTTATTTTAAAATTTGATACTATTTCCGACATTTTTTGCTTTCATTCAATAAAATTTAAAAAAAAAGTTAAAAATTATGGCGTTTGACTTTGTTGTAGTTTTTTATCTCACCCTGTATTTCATTATGCGTCTTCTAATTATAATACGCTCCTATTTTGTATGTTTCAAAGGCATTTTTCAACCAACCCTGATATTCAGAAATTCGAACCGAACTAGGTTTACTTTTGCAGTTTAGGTTTTCATTTGATCAAAATTCATCTCAAAGAAAACTTTTAATATCGGCCCACGTTTAGACAACCTTCAGAACATGAAACATCTTCTTGTTCTTAGAGTTTGGAGTAGATGCCACAAATGATAGCCCCCTAAAGTGGGTATTTTTTAGATCCTATATTTTAAGGTCATTTTTAAGTGTCCTAAATTTTGGGCAACCAATATACAAAGTAGCTGTTCTCCAACGGTTAGGTCGGAAAATGCACAAACTGCTGTTGAAATATCTCTCTTGAAGTCAGAACATCTGTACTTTTCTCCAAGCATTTTAAACGCACTGCATACAACTCCCATACCGTGGTAGGTTTCAATATCCTTTCTTGTTTAGAATTTAATTGTGAAACCGTCATCCTGTATCTGTTTCTGGTTCCTGTGATATTTGGATTTCGTTACTGTTTTGTTCCTGCAAGATTTAAATGTTTTTCCTATGAGACAAATAAAAACCACATTTTTCATTTGTACAAATATTGGGCTTTTATTGGTATGAATTTAAATCAAATCGATAATGATATGAACACACTTTATAATTTACATAACTTTTTGTTTTTAAAATGAAGAGGGTCTCGCACAGGATCAACTCACATAATAAAACCAATCTAATGTACGACCAAATTGAAAATTACAACTAAAATATATGAATATGGTTTATGTTTTTTTTTAATATGCAAACAATGAATTCATTAAAATGGAACATATTCTCACACATGTCACTCTGTTTGTTAAAAAATTTATTTTGGTGATTTTCGTTTTAGTTCTTTTTATACAAAATATATGTGTTTTCGTTTTCTGTTTAGGCCGTTTTATTGGTTAACGTGTTGCTTGTACTTTTGTTTTTGTTATTATTTTGTTTTGTTTAATGCACTCTATTTAAAAATCCAACGAATTTTTAACATTTGGACTGATGTTACTGCCACAGCTTAATGTGGGCTTTTGATCCGCATCCTTGTTATCTTCTTGTAATTCTGTGTAAATAAAAAAATTTTGTTATTGAATGAAAAAATGTCATGGAATATGAGAACTTACCTGGAGGCAAATGTAGTTTTTCAATGACAAACTTTTTGCGTCTTAGTTTAAACGCCAAATCAGTAGTTTCAGGCATATAGGCACTTAATGTGTTAATGGCTGTTATTTTACGTAAATGAATCAGTCCATGGTATTCCTTGAAGGCGGGATTTGTTTCCTTATCCGATCCAGCAAAGGACTCGAGTTCAATGGCATAATCGACCAAGTTACGTATTTTTGAAACCAAGGATTCATCCTGTAATTGAAAGATAAAAGCTTAAATTAATATGAACAATACGATACAATCAAGAAGACTGTATGCAGAGTTAAAAAGTAAGTTTTAGATGCGGGTTGTGTTACAGTTTGAGACTTACTTAACATAAAAATAGACAAACTGATATGTGGGAAAACTACCGGCTTTTATATGAAGACCATCTAGTCTGACCTTCTAGGAGTAGACCATGTCTTCTGGCCTTCTATGAGAATACCATTTAGTTTGGCCTTCTATGAGTTAATCAACAGGTTTTCGATGAGGAGATCAGCAGGTCTTCAATGAGAAGACCATAAATTCTTCTATGAGAAAACCCTCAGGTCTTCTATGAGAAGACCATTAGGTCTTCTATGAGAAGACAATCAGGTCTTCTCTGAGAAGGCCATTAGGTCTTCTATGAGAAGATCATCAGGTCTTCTATGAGAATACTATCAGAGTTTATCTATGAGAAGACCATCGTGTGTTCTATGAGAAGACCATTAGGTCTATGTCTCTTTTTGAGAAAACCACTAGGTCTTCTTTTAGACGACCATCAAAACTTCTCTTGCCTACTTCAAGAAGATTTCCTAGTCTTCTATAAGACGGTCTCTGAGAAGACCATCAGGTCTTCTATAAGATGACCATCTGGTATTCGATGAGGTGACAACTTGGTCCTTAGTTTTTAGTTATTTCTAATGGTCTACCCATTTTCAACGCTGTTGTATGGTAAAATTTTGTGCGTTATAAGTACTACTAAATTTTTTTCCTGATCTTATACAATTGTGTGGGCCTGTTATTCAAACATATTTCAAAAATATAGGAAATTTGGATTGTTTAATCATTTTTAACGAATTCTATCCATTTTAATTCTATTGGTTATTAAATACGAAAGACCTCCTATTGTAAATAAAACAATGGTATATGAAGAAGAATTACTCCATCAAAATACAAAGTATTACTTACATATTTTGCAACCAAATGCATTGGCATTGTTATAAAACAAACCGACACCGATGAACGTACTGCCGCCCTCAAAATGGTTAAGAATTTTAACAAATCATTTCCATAGTTGTCATCATACCACATCGGTGAACCCAGCGAAGTGATGCAGACGCGACATAGACTTTTCTTTATTAGGAAACCACCCGAATGGAATTTGTCATCTCGCAATAGCTGTTGTACCTCTTTGAGTAGACTTAAATATTTGGAATTTTCAAATAGTTGGGTTTTTGTTGGTGCCTTACAAATTGGTGGTGGCGGTGTGGGCAACGATGATGATGTCTCTGTGGATCCCGTTGCATTTTTATCATCGGTGGTCGGATTTCCCGTATTTGAAGGATTTAGAGAATTGGAAGTGTTGTTGGCATTCTCTTGTTCCATTTCTTTGCTAGAATCCATAACGTACGTGGCATCACTGTCATTGTCGTACAAATTGGCGACTTCTTCTTCATCGTCGTCATCATCATCTTGATTGACAACAATCTCATTATCCAACGAATCGTCTGGCCATGTAACCGTATCGGCATTTTCGAACATGTTTACATCCATGTGTTCCATTAAATTGAAATGATGACCTATTTGTGTTTGTGTTTTTTCTGAATTAACCATGGGCAAATCATTGTAACGCCAGGCAATGCGTAATCCATTCTTGGTAGTATCCGGGTTTTCTTGAGCCTCAATTTGGGATTCAATTTTATCTTTTTCAATTTCATCCTCATTCAAGGGCTTGGGTAATTTTACAATGAAATAGTTGGGGCTGTCATCTAAGCTGCCAAGGAAAACGGTTTGCTTTGACACAATGCCCTCGGCCATAAAGTATTTGGCCAGCACTTTGGAATAGGTAACAAATTTGTCTTCTTCGATCAAACATATTGAACCGATGGGCAAACCACCACCTGTGGTAGGGAGAGAACAAAGAAATCATTAGAATGCAATTACTTTTATGTTTATGCCTCGAACTCACCCAGGATTACATCCAAAGACGGATTACCACTTGAGGTTATCACCTGACCTGTTTGAGGGCTGGTCCTTGTAAACGGTATTTGTTTTTGTACATTTCTTTTGCGAAAACTGGACATTATCTTTAGTATGTGATTTGCGGCCTTTTGATCTCTCGTGTGTTTTGTATGGTATGTTTATGGAAATATTTTTTTGTAAACAAATTTCTCGGCGATTTAATAAAACAGCATTGTATCAATTTCACAACTGTAAATTAAAAGTGTCAATTAGATTAGTAAAAACATGCTGTAATAAAATTGGGTAATATAGTTCACGGTAACCGATAATTAAATGTGCATGTAAGTGGCCTGCCTGCCTGTCTGTCTGTGGAACAGGAGATATCTACACGTTTTAGGGCTTAACTCTAGTTTAGTAAAAACTCTTCAATTTTTTCGAAAATTTTTTCAGTGGTAGGTATTTTAACCATGATCCCGGAAAACTATTTTTTTCTTGGGGGACGGACCTGGGACCCCAGATTTTTGACCCGAAAGTCCGGGTTCAAGACCCCGACTAGACCCGGATCCAATTACCCGATATTGACAATATGGGTATCGTTGGAAAGCTTATGAAAATACCTATCCAACAAGTGGTCACATGATGGGGTAAGATGTTACGGTTCGGAAGTTATAGTCAAATTATCGATTTTTTGGACCCGGATTTTTTATAAAACCCCCAAAAAGTCAAAAAAGGGTCCATTATGGGGGACAACAAAATTTATGCCAAATTATAGCTGACACTTCTACCTTTCCAAAATGCTACAATTTGTGCTAATACCTTCACTGAGTCCAGAGATATGGGTCTTTCCATCCGCATAACCCGATTCTTACCAGTTCATTAAAACTATGTTTTCAATAAAAAAAGGTATATTTTACGTAAGAATGAAATTCAGAAATCTTTGGTTCGCGTTAGCCGGTGTAGGACATACCCAGAGGAGAAAATCTCAAGCCCCGGCCGAAGGCCGGCTACTTACAAAAGGTATCCAATTTAGAAAACTTTGGTTCGCGTTAGCCGGTGTAGGACATACCCAGAGGAGAAAATCTCAAGCCCCGGCCGAAGGCCGGCTATTTAAAAAAAGTGTCAAATTTAGAAAACTTTGGTTCGCGTTAGCCGGTGTGGGACATACCCAGAGGAGAAAATCTCAAACCCCGGCCGAAGGCCGGCTATATGCAAAAAGTGTCAAATTTAGAAAACTTTGGTTCACGTTAGCCGGTTTAGGACATACCCAGAGGAGAAAATCTCAAGCCCCGGCCGAAGGCCGGCTACTTACAAAAGGTATCCAATTTAGAAAACTTTGGTTCGCGTTAGCCGGTGTAGGACATACCCAGAGGAGAAAATCTCAAGCCCCGGCCGAAGGCCTGCTATTTACAAAAAGTGCCGAAATTATGAACCTTTTGTTCGCGTTAGCCGGTGTCGGACATACCCATAGGTGAAAATCTCAAGCCCCGGCCGAAGGCCGGCTATTTACAAAAAGTGCCAAATTTAGAAAACTTTTGTTATTCCGGCGACTGCTACGCAAAATAAACACTTTTTTATTAAAAACATCATTTTAATGAACTGGTTAGAATCGGGTTATGCGGATGGAAAGACCCATATCTCTGGACCCGAAAAAGGTATTAGCACAAATTGTAGCATTTTGGAAAGGTAAGAGTGTCAGCTATAATTTGGAAACAATTTTGTTGACCCCCATAATGGGCCCTTTTTTGACTTTTTGGGGGTTTCATAAAAAATCCGGGTCCAAAAATCGATAATTTGACTATAACTTCCGAACCATGACAACTTACCTCTTCATGTGACCACTTGTTGGATAGGTATTTCCATAAGCTTTCAATCGATACCCATATTGTCTATATCGGGTAAGTGGATCCGGGTCCAGGCGGGGTCTTGATCCCGGACTTTCGGGTCAAAAATCTGGGGTCCCGGGTCCGTCCCCCAAGAAAAAAATAGTTTTCCGGGATCAGGGTAAAAATACCTACCTCTGGAAAAAATTTCGAAAAAATCTAAGAGTTTTTACTAAACTAGAGTTGTTCCCGTTTTAGTAACAATTTTGCTTTCAATTTCGCACTAAAGATTTATTCCGTGTTCCTCTTATCATTCTCACTCTTGAAAACAACCTGTACCGGCGAAAAATGTATATAATTCCCTGCAGATAGCGCTAGGAGTGGGCCGGACACTCTTCACATTTCAAATGACCATTATCACCCACAACATAATTGAAACGTAACAACGTAACGTACGCTCTACATAACGCAACTCTTAACGTATTGCACTAATCACATTCTGCCATAATAAATTTGCGAAATGGTGTGATTGGCAAATTTCTAATTTTGCAAACATTTTTCCGATTTAGTTTTCAATTATATTTGCATGCATTGGTCTTACCAACAAAACCAAACAACACAAAAAGACTCGCGGCCTTTGTTTTTCTTAAACTCTCACAGAACTTGGCAATTTACACGTTCAACCAACAAGACTTTGAGTAGGGGTATCTCAGTCGACTTTCGACTAGTGTTGTGTAGTTCATGCACGACCTAGTTCAATGGAGTGATTCACTAATAAGAATTAAGGAGACTGATGCTAGGAACACAATTGGAGCGAACGACGAATTTCGCCCTACGCGGCGACAAAATGAGCCGCGAAAATTCGTCGTATGGAACACAATACCGACGAAATTATAAAACAGCTGATGAAGTTGTTTACTTTTTGCTCATTTGTTGACTACAATGAATTAAACAAGAACACATAATTCTTTACGTTCTCTATTATAATTTCACTTATGTCCATCTTCTCTATTATAAATTCACTGATATCCATCTTCACTCAGGCGCAAGTACACAAATAAATAAACAAATTAATTATGTTTTTTTATACGAGTAACAGATAGTAGAGTGACCATAACAAATTTTAAAGAAAAAAGTAACTTTATTTACTAAAACACATAAAATTCGTACAAGTATGGCCACCTTGTACTGTTTTGTCGCCGTTCGCCGGCGTATGAAATAGAAATAAAGCTAATTGAGTTCGCGGCGACCGACGAAATTTTCGCCGGCGCCGTGATTGTGCGCACTTCCATATACACATATGGTTTTTATTTTTGACGACGAACATACGCCGCGAAAAAATTCGTCGTTCGCTCCAATTGTGTTCCTAGCATGAATCAGAACAGTGAAATGATGTGTTCCGGCATTTTTAAGGGTAGAACTTAATAATATAAAGGTTGTCTCAACCAGAGCGCAATTTTTAAATATTAAACATTAAACACCAGTAAGAAAGGTCAAAAGTCGGTCGGAGCCGACTATATGATACCCTACACCATTATGCTTATTAGAAGCGCTCCCGTAATAAAAAAGTTAATATTGGGAAATTTATGTGAAGTATATAATACCAAATACGAACGTCATTTGAATGCGTATATTGGCTTTAGAGTAGTCACAATTTGGGAACTATATCCAACTGTGAATCGATTTTCAACAAATTTGACGGAGGCTTTTGTACCTCAAGTATCAAATAACATTGTTGTATACTGCACTATATAACTTCGATAAGAATTATATCAAACAATTAAGAAACCTGTAAGTTCGGCCGGGCTGAACTTTGAATACCCTGCATCATATAGAACGAATTAGGAAATTTTCAAAAAAAAATCCATTAACAATTCTGTTAAAATCTTAAAAATACCAAATATAGCTGCTATATTGGGGTCTATACGAAGACGTGGACCAGCATAGACCACAATCATAGTATATTCACAATCATATAATATTCAAATAAGAAACTTGAAAAAATTGGGTGAATACTGTTGCTAAAATCATTAAAATACCGAATATAGGGATGTACCGTTATATCGGAGCTATACGAAGATCTGGACCTGTATAGACAATTTTTTATCACAGGCTGCAGTACCAATTAGGAATTTCAAAAACGAAATTTCAAACAATTTCGGTGAATATTGTTCCTAAAATTGTCAAAATACCGAATATAGCGAGGTACTGATATATGGGGCCTATACGAAGACGTGGACCTGCATACACAATTTTCTGTCATAGACTGTAGTTTCCATTACGAACTCTAAATACGAAATTTGAAATATGTTCCTAAAATCGTCAAGATATCGAATATCGGTGGGTACCGTTATATGGGGGATATACGATATCGTGGACCAATATGGAGAATACCCATTCCAGGGGGTAAAGTATTCAGAAGGAACTCCTTTTGTGGATTTTCAGACAATTCCATTCAAAAGTTAGGCTGAAATTATAAAAATACCGAATATCAGGGGGTACCGTTTATATAGGCTATACGATGTCGTGGACCTATGTAGACCATACTCTTCTAGAGTGTAAAGTACTCACAAGGAACTCCTTATGTGAATTCTCAGACAATTCCATCGGAAAATGTGGCTAAAATCATCAATATACCGAATATCGGGGGTACCATTGTATGGCGGCTATACGATATCGTGGACCTAAACAATTAATTCTCTTCCAGAGGGTAAAGTACTCAGAAAGAACTCCTTGTGTGAATTCTCAGACAATTCCATTGGAAAATGTGGCTAAAATCATCAAAATACCGAATATCGGGGGTACCGTTGTATGGGGGGGGATACGATATCGTGGACCTTTATAACAAAATTCTCTTCTAGAGGGTAAAGTACTCAAAAAGAACTCCTTGTGTGAATTCTCAGATAATTCCATTTGAAAATGTGACTAAAATCATCAAAATACCAAATGTCGGCGGATTCCGTTGTATTGCGGCTATACGATATCGTGGACCGATATACCCTTCCCTTATGAGCGCATTATTGGTCTTGAATTTGCCTTCTTCTTCTGTGTCACCTTATGGATTTGCTTCTAAAAATTACCAGGCGATTGAAATAAGTGTCAAGGCAAAATCTGCATTGAGTATATCCTCATATATATACTATTCAGTATATACTCAATACAGATTTTAGCATTTTCTTTGGTTCGTGTCAACAACTACTTAATCATTTTTTTTTTAATTTTATTACTAACAGCCTGGTCAATCGTGTAAGTGTCGAATTAGTTGGAAAACTGTTATATGAAATGTATGCATAACAGTGGGTATAGATGGCGCTATATAAAACATAGAACAACGTATAAACTAGTATGAAATGTAGATGCCACCATGTCCATACAATGTCTATAATTAGCTATAGTTTTCAAATGCAGATGTCGCTGTGTGTGATTTTAAATAAAACATAGAAAGTACTAAAATATGTATCAAGTGTAGATGTCACTATATCTTAGAAATGAGTTATTAGTTTCATCCTTTAAATCTAGGTGTCTCTGTAGGCAGAACGTGATATTATCTTGGCCGTTGCCGGTTTGATTTTATTAGTCTTTAGAGACATCTAAATTTCGTTTTGTATATTAAGATTAATCTTATTAGTTGTCCTCAGTAAGTTGAGGTGAATTGAAAGTAATTTATGATTGATTTATGATCGCAATGAAGGTATCTATCTGTTCAATGAAAGTAAAAAAATGTAAATGTAAAGAACCTGGTCAATTTTCCTTCCGATTGTGATATTTTGAAATTTTTGAAAGCATCCTCGAATGGCGCCCAATTAACATTGTAAAATCTTTATACCTTTAACCATGTAATTTACTTTTATAACTCATCGAAATAGTCATTTCACACCCTATAAAGTAAGTCAAGGACTTATGCTTGATAATGTTGGCATGCTCGTCTATCTGCACCTCTGTGAATTTTGGCATAGTTATGTATTGTCTGTAGGTTTTAAGTTTTGAATAACCAAAACGATTATAAAATCCGCATTCGGTTCTCTTCATATTTCACACATCCCATTATTTCCACTAACACAAGATCTACTGTGAAGATGGAATATATCTGCCCACTCCTTCTGGTACCTCTTCCACAAAGGGCCAACATTTTGAATATCTGTGGAGCTCATAAAACGCGAATTTTACATCTGATTCCATTCGGACTAGGTACATCTCAATATTTCCATCAACACAAGATTTGTTATAAAGATGACAGAGATCGGACCATTTCTTCTTGTACCTCCCACACAAAAGGTCAAAGTTTTGAATAACCAAAACCATTATAAAATTCGAAATAAACATCGGGTTCTTTTCATATTTCACACATCTCATTATTTCCACTAACACAAGATCTGCTATGAAGATGGGATATATCGGTCCACTTCTTCTAGTACCTCCCCCACAAAGAGTCAAAATGTTGAATATCCATGAAGCTCATAAAATGCGAAATTAACATCCGATTCCATTTAGACTTGGCACGTCTCATCCATCAGCACAAAATCTGTTATAAAGATGATAGAGATCGAGCCATTTCTTCTGGTACCTCCCTCACATAGGGTCCAAGATTTTTGAAAAACAAAACGCTCAAGAAATTCGAAATATGCATCCAACTCTAATCAAATTTCACTCATCCAAACATTTTGCTAACACAAGATCTGTTGTGAAGCTGATATATATATCTGCGAACCCCTTCTGGTGCCTCGCCCACAAAGGGTCACAATTTCAATACAATATATATTCTTGATCAGGCTAAGCCGATTTTGACTTGTCTCTCCATCTGTCCTTCTGTTGTATTCACGCTAGAGTCAAAACGAATAAAGATAGGAAGCTAAAATTTTGCACAGATTAGTCTTTTGTCTGCAGGCAGGTCGAGTTCGAAGATATCGTATAGCCCCCATATAACCGTACCCCCGATATTCGGTATTTTGATGATTGTAGCCAAATTTTCAATGGAATTGTCTGAAAATCCACAAAAGGAGTTTCTTCTGAGTATTTTCCCCCCTGGAAGAGAATTGTCTATATAGGTCTACGATATCGTATATTCCCCATATAACGGTACCTCCCCATATTCGGTATTTTGACGATTTTAGCTACATTTTTCAATGGAATTGTCTAAAAATCCTTACTAGAAGTTCTTTCTAAGCACTTTACCCCCTGGAGGGAAATGTCTTTATAGGTCTACGATATCGTATTGCTACAACGGTACGATATTCGATATTTTGACGATTTGAGGGGCATTATTTACCGGAGTTTTTTCAAATCTCCAAGTCTTCATGTAGGCCCCATATATCAGTACCTCCTCAATATTGATTCTAGGTACAATATTCACCGAAATTGTTTGAGGTGCCGATTTTGAATTTCCTTATAGGTACTACAGCCTGTGACAGAAAATTGTCTATGCAGGTCCAGGTCTTCGTATAGCCCCGGTAACTACATATATTCGGTATTTTGATGATTGTAGCTACTTCATTCACCGGATTTTTTCAAGTTTCGTATTTGAATACTGTAATGTCTTATGACAAAAATTCCTAGCCAGGTCTTCGTATAGATCTCAATATAACGACTTTATTCGATATTTTTACGATTTTAATGGTTTTTATACCCTACACCACAAGGTTGTCAGGGTATTATGTCTTTGTGCATTTGTTTGTAACAGGCAAAAGGAAACGAGATAGACCCATAGTTCCTTTTGATGATCTGCATCACTTTCAATCACTTTCTGAGT